GAAAGAGTAAGTGCATACTAAGAACATTTGAAAGGAACTTGTCCTTAGCTGGCCAAAGCTGACATGGAACATGATGAAGCTGAAAGAGGGCTGACTAGCTTTGGGAAGCACAATGCTTTGTGATTTTTTTTTTAATATTTTATTTATTTATTCATGAGAGACATAGAGAGAGAGAGACAGAGACATAGGCAGAGGGAGAAGCAGGCCCCCTGCAGGCAGCCTGATACAGGATTTGATCCCAGGACTCTGGATCACGACCTGAGCCTACGGCAGACACTCAACCACTGAGCCACCCAGCGTCCCTGCTTTGTGATTTCTGCTTCATTTTGTATTTAACATCTCTAGGAAAGCAGCAGTCTCACTAGGGACACTGGTATCTTATACATATATTTGTGCTGGACTTTCTTAGCCCTTCACAGAAACTTTCAAATCCTTCCCATGAGACAGGTTCCCATGGTCTTGTTTCAAAAATAGTGAATGACCTGTTGGTATTTGGCACTCCCACTGGTGATGTCGTTTTTGTGGTAATTATTTACCTCTTAAAAAGGGCATTCATCTACTATGTATCTATTAGAATGGCCCAAAATTTTAAAAAAGAAACAAAAGAGGTCTAACAATAACAGATGTTGGCAAGGATGCACAGCACCCAGAACTCTCATACACTGTTGGTGAGATTGCAAAATAACACAGCCACATGAAAAACCAGTTTTGCAGTGTCTTAGAGAGTTACTATACAATCTAGCAATCCCACTTCTAGGTTTTACGCAAGAGAAGTGAAGACATATGTCCACATAAAACCTATGTGCAAGTGTTTTAGCAGTTTTACTCATAATCACTAAAAGCTGGAAACAACCCAAGTATCCAGAAAATGGTGAATGGATAAAGCCTGCGGTGTATCCACACAATGGCATACTATTCATCCAAGAAGTACTAACGGATGTGTACAATAGATGAATGTCAAAAGCCTCATGCTAAGTGAAAGAATCCAAACTCAAAAGACCTGGTGACTGATGAAATGTATGTGGTAAGGAAAGGGGTTGAGTTTTTGGCTTCGAGGTCTTGATAAAGAAAAATGGGTAAACTTCCCAAAAGGGAATAATGGAGGCAAAGACAGAGTCTTGAGCAATGCCTTATTAAGAGTTGGGAATAAGGGCAGCCCAGGTGGCTCAGCGGTTTAGCACCGCCTTCAGCCCAGGGCGTGATCCTGGAGACCCGGGATAGAGTCCTATGTCGGGCTCCCTGCATGGAGCCTGCTTCTCCCTCTGCCTGTGTCACTCTCTGTGTGTGTGTGTCTCTCATGAATAAATAAATAAAATCTTAAAAAAAAAAAAAAAAAAGAGGGGACTAAGAAGCGCCAGCATGGATTCAGACTGGGAGAAGAAGAAAACACCAGTAAGACAACGTGGTTACCGAGAGAAGACAGAATTATAAAAGAACATAACACTGCTTTGTGTGAGACACAGAACCTACTGCTTCACATACATTTTCATATTTAATCCTTGCAACCACCAGGAAGTAGTTACTTTAATTATCTTCACTTTACAAATCGGGAAAATGCAGATCTGAAGCGATGTGGCTGAAACCACAGAGCTGGTAAGGAAGGGGTGGGGGTGGAGGGGTGTTTACTGCAGATCCAGCTGGCTTCAGAGGCTGCTCCGGAGCAGTCTACAGGATCAGTGCTGTAGAAAGAGCTGGTGGTACAAGGTCAATAAAAAGGCAACTCTTACATATTGCCTATAATGATTACAATAACTTAAGAAATGTTTCTATAGTGTTGTGACATATTTGCTGAAAATGATAGAAAATGGTGAAACTTCAACTGGTTCAGCAGAGAAGCACAAGGTAAAAGGGACAACCTCACATAAATCTAAAGACTCACAAACTATATTAGGCCTAAAATATTGTCACTTTATTACTCTCCAAGATACTTCAGACCTATTGAAGCATTTGATTATGTGTTTCTTGTCCTGACATAGATGCTCTTTACTGATTCATCTCAATTGTTCTGAGAAAGACAACGGGTGATATGGAGAAACCAGAATGACAGCGATTAAGACACACACTCATTCCTGGGCACAGCCACAAAGGCATACACCTGACATGCACCTGGATATGACTGCTGTCTGTATCAAAAATAATTTCCAAAGATCGAAGAGAGATGCTGACATGTCACCCATAGGTAGCTAGATCATAGAAAATCTCAGCAGACTCTGATTGAAACCAGCATTCACACAGTTTTCTTTCAGCTGAACATTATTCACTATAAAGGAAAATGTCACTGAAATAAATGAAAGGGATATTCTAATGTTTTTATTTTGTAAAATCTGAAGAAAATCAAAGTGGAGGTAATAGATGCCTCTGGTAAAGGAGTATGAATTTAAAAGGCAGGATGATCTGTAATATTTTCACTGTTTATAATGAAACATAATGAACTGATAATTACAGAAAAAAATGGGATTTCAGTGAACTCACTGAGGACAAGAACTACAACTTATTTATTCAACTTTATATTGTCTGCACTCTTGGACATTTTGAAAAAGTCCAACCTACACACATTTTTTAGTGAAAAATTTTTAAATTTTAAATTTATAACATTAATGATCCTATCCAATTTAATTTAAAAATTGTGCTGCCCACCAATTGAAATGAAAACAAAAAGTAATTGAACACTAAAGAGAAAAATGGAAAAAGGAACTAGGAAATGTGCTAAAACAAACAAAAAAAAAAAAATCGAGAATAAGACCAAGAGAAAAAGGAGCAACATAGAACAGGAATATAAACTTGAAACAAGGAGATGTTGTTATTATGCTGAAGTTCTGAATAAAACCAGAGAAATATAACCAAAACATGGCTTGAGCACATATAGGCTTGCAAATAAAATGTTTATTTCTTAGTGATCAGTCTAAACCAAAAAAACCACTTTTCTTTTTTTATTTTCTTTATCTTGCTTCCTGGGTTTCCTGGGATATACTGAATTTATATGCTTTTTAGGGACTCTTTTAAGGCAATTGAAAAGCTAAGTGATGAAACATTTCTTTCACCAAATTCAACTGTTTTCTCCTGAAGGCAAGTATTTTAATGGATTCCACAAAGTACTATGGCAGTCGAGAATATGTTTTGAAGAATAAAGCATTTTAAAAATTGGTGATGTTTCTTTCCTCTTCCTTACTCATTCATGGTCAGTATGTCTGTCAAACTAAAATTAATTTTAAAAGATACTGGTTATATCTACAGTAGTTCTTGACTATATACTTCAAAATATATTTCTTTTAGGTGATTTCTTTAAGGTGTTTGTTTAAAATCTTGTAAAAGTCTATTGAAATTTCTTACAATAGTTTTCACTTCCAATAACATGAGACCCATTATGAAAATATTCAAAACCTTAAACGTTCATGTTAGTATTTAATAAATGAGATTAATCTTTTCAAGAAACTTTATACTTTTTCAACTGCAAGAACCCTAGCATATACCAGAGCTACAAGTACAAGACTTTTGCCAAAAGCAAAAGCACTCAATATATTATTTTAATAATGGAAACTTCAAGTATTAGAAACCAAGCTGTGTGTGGAAAAAAATAAATCATTTAGGTGAAAGGGTAACAAACATTCAATTGAAGGATAATGCAGCCCTGAGGGAAAATATGCATATGAATGGAGTTTATGAAATTGGTTCAGTGCCTCTGCAAGGAAAAAATAATTAGTTTATTTTAAAGCTGCCTATAAAATGTTTTCAATATTGCAGTATGAATTATTTACAGAAAAATGTACATCTAACTTTATTTTTTTATTTTATTTTTTTTACATCTAACTTTAAAGATACCATTTTACCGAGACATGTAGAGTATTGTGGAACTAGAAATAAAAATATATCGTTTACTGTACGTAGTATCTGGGAAATTCTCTTTTAATTACATGCCTTTCAAAAAGTTCAGGGCTAGTATCTAAATCAGTGGTAATTCAACTCTTTCTCTTCAATATATGAAGTTAAAGTGACTGGAATATCAATTTAATTTTCAACTTTGATACAGAATGTTCTCTAGAGCTGACAAATACTTGAGAGTATATTACTATTAAGTCATGACTGCTAATGAAATGACTGAGGGAACATATCTTAGATGAAATAATTTTAAAAATACTTATTAAATATGTCTTTGAAGTTAGTACAGGTTATTGGGGAAAAGATTTGGATTTGAGGTTTTAACCATAATGCTACTCTATGTGTTACAAAAAATATTCAAATGGATTCACAAAATAATCTATGTTTAGAATATTCCTTTACCCAGTTTTCTGAATAGTACCTTAATGTGGCACAGACTGGGGGAGATGGGGGTGTGTGTGGGAAACACAGTGCTTGGATACCATGCGTAGGCCTCTAGTTTTATGAACTTTTCTTGAGAGAATCATGATAGAATTACCGTAAACCCACTCCACTCCCCAAAATATGGAAAATCAGAGTTATTTATCATCAGTTTCAAGCAAATCACTAAAGGAAAAATCACTATGTTTTTTAAAAGTCAATTTTGAATATATCACAATTTTAAAGCTAAAACTAGGGAGCCCAAAACAAAGTGTACACTTTACTGTGTCCTGGCTGAAAAGTAGATGCAAAGTGGGTATTGGAGTTCTTCGCTTTCTCAGCTCTCAGTCAATAATGTAGTAAGTCAGAATCTGATTGGTCTCTAGGTTAAAACGTGGGGCTCTCCTAAAACAGTATCACGTGCTTATACAAGACACACAAATAGAATAATGTTAAATAACTTTAGAGTATTACCTGTATTGAGTCTACTTTGAATTTCTAAAATTAATGTGACAATTATCAATTTATGAACACTAGAGGGCAGTAAAACACTAGAAGGTGTATTTAAATTACATACCTAAAAGTGGCAAAGGCAAGCCAGTACACTTTTTTAATCAAAATTCTAACAATTTAATAAACTTGTTTCTTTTTAGGTTGCTAAAGTACAAAGCATTCTTCAGTGTGTCATTTTAGGTATAACTTACTTTGCAAAATCCAAATAAGAAACATGTCCATGATAAAACCCTGGTTTCATCTCTTTCCAGGAAGTTATATTCTTTACAAAGCGTACCTAAAACAGGAGAACACACTCATTACTGAAGTTCAATATAAAGGAAAATGAAATCTGATGATAGCAAAATACTTTCCATTTAGACATTTAAAACAAATCACACCAGTTTGACAATTACAGTGCTTGAAACACAGGTTTCAACTAAGGAGAGCACAGTGTGATCTGTAATTACCAATTCATCACAGAGAGAGCTATTATCACCACACTCAGAAAAGAGTGAGAGAGAATCCTGAAAGAAAAACCCACACAGTGCAATCATTTACAATGCTGCACTGTGAGTAATTCACATGGGCGAGGGGAGAGTGGGTACCAACACACATGCCCAAGTCTGTTTTCCACTCCCAGAGACTTGTTATTCATAAAAACTCATACTTATCAACGGTTCAACAAATTAAAACAAAAAGTAATCCTTAAGCCAAAATGATTAAAGAAAAGATGATAATTATCAGAGGACTTAACAAAGAACAGATATCATAAGCTTGTTGATGAGATTAATAAAATTAGGTGAAATTTTTTAGGTAAAATTTTTAAAAACTTGAATATCTAATTATTACTATTTTAATTTGCTGGAATTAAAGGTGCTCAAAAGATTAGTTAATAGAAAAATTCTTTTAGTGTAAATGTGCTAAAAAAATTTCAAGAACTGATTAATATAGAACGTGATAAGACTAAGTATCACCAGCTGCAAAGCAGTGATACACAATTTTTCAAAGAAATGTGGTATATATTTTTGATGAGCAAATTTCTGCATTATAAGCAGCAAGTGGTTAAGACTCTCTTCTGGGGACTGGCTGTCGGGTGGTGGAGAAGGGCTGAAAGGAAGGGGATCCACACCTTAAACTGCGCTAAGGGATCTGCAAGCTGTGACCTCAGCCTCTGGAACACAGGCCTGTCAATTGCGTACTTCTGACAATTTATCAATCTTGCATTTACATTTTGGAATAGCGTATGTCACATGTAGATATTCTGGACCACTTCTATCAGATTAGCCAATAAATTAACGGCAATGAATGATGACGGCCGCCTCCTAGAAAAGGCCTATTTGTACGGCAGAGTACAAAACAGTGCAGAAGCAGCCATATGTCCGAGAATGTGAACTAGGGAAAAACAGAAGGTTCTGGGGAAATTTATTTTTTAGGGAAAGCATTAATAACTCAGATACTAAGGGAAATAATGGAGTTCTTAGAAGGAAAGTGATATGAACCTTATCTTATTATCTTATGCACACATACACACTTAAATCTGAAAATTGAATGTAGATGGTAAAAGTATGTTGCATTAGAAAATACACAATTATATTTCAACAGATATTTATAATTTTTCCCACTAGAAAAAAGAGCCAAATAAATGTGTGATTTGAGGTTCTCATGTTCCTTCCTATCTGTTCTTTAAGGCACAAGAGAATGAAAATATCAAATGGCAAATGAAAATTAACCAGAAAATTAAAATTATATAACCTAAAACTGAATCCTTAAAAAATTTCATGTGAATATGAAAAGTCCTTATAAACTGCCACTTACTGGTAAATTATTTCATGTAAGCCTTTGGTCCTGTGAAAATCAGTTCCATTATTTCAGCTGAAAGTGAGGGAGAAATAGAAGGAAAAGAGACTAGGAATGGGAGGTGGTGGTTTGAGGGTACTTAAGGCATATTTAGCAACTGAGCTCTATTTTCCAGAAGCCCAGATTTAATGTGGAGGTGATGCTGTAGGAGAGAAACGAAAGGAGATGCTGGATTGAAATCTGAGAAAATGGTATTATGTAAGCCAAATGTTAGAGAGGATCAATAGTACAAACTTAAGAGTACATTGTGCGGTGAAAGACAGAAATAAAGTGGAAATAAGAGTTAGGCATGAATATAAACTTCAAGGATACTTCTTTCTTGCACCTTTCCTAAGGATGGTCAGGATTAAACTGAACCCTCCTAAGGACATGCTTCATCCAATATGTGCCCTTCAGTGTCAGGTGAAGAGCCCAGGAAGCTGGACAATATGTGGACTGCTGCAGGGCTTCTCAAACAAATGAATCATCTGGGACTTACTCCTGATAAAACGAAGATTTTGATTCAGTGGGTCTAGAGTGGGCCCAAGGTTCTGCACTTCTTACAAGTCTCCACATGATGGCAGGTCAGCGGACCACACTGAGGAGCACAGGTAGGCAGGCCCAGGAGCTACTGTGTGGTTTTATTTACATGAAGCTTCTTTTTGTAGTTGCTTTGCAAAGGAGGCCCTGAGGTCTATAAAAGCTCTTTAGCAGAGATATACTCTCATGTTCACTACTTTTATGATAAGGAAAAAAAAAGTATACTGAAATATAACTGATTTTTTTTTATTTATTTATGATAGTCACACAGTGAGAGAGAGAGAGAGGCAGAGACGTAGGCAGAGGGAGAAGCGGGCTCCATGCACCGGGAGCCCGACGTGGGACTCGATCCCGGGTCTCCAGGATCGCGCCCTGGGCCAAAGGCAAGCGCCAAACCGCTGCGCCACCCAGGGATCCCCATATAACTGATTTTTAAAGATCATCTTGTAAGCCACCACAATATACAAAACAGAAGTGAGGACAGGAGCAGAATGAACCTGCCTGCTCAGTCCCCTACCCACACACAGTGATGCCTGAAGCATACTGGAACTGAAGCATTCCAAGAAACACAGTTTAAAAACTAATGAAGTGGGATCCCTGGGTGGCGCAGCGGTTTAGCGCCTGCCTTTGGCCCAGGGCGCGATCCTGGAGACCCGGGATCGAATCCCACATCAGGCTCCCGGTGCATGGAGCCTGCTTCTCCCTCTGCCTGTGTCTCTGCCTCTCTCTCTCTCTCTCTCACTGTGTGCCTATCATAAATAAATAAAAAAAAAAAAAAAAAAAAAAAAACTAATGAAGTGAGAAAAAGGGTTGTACTTCCAGCTGACTCGGGGAAGAGTTTGGAGATGGGCGAGACCAGAACAAAGCATGAATCTTCCACTGTTGTCACCAACCTCAAACTCTATAGTTTAGAGAATCAGCATTTTAGAGGTAGAAGGAACTTAGGATATCCTGTACTCTTTATTTTACAGATAAAAAAAAAACTGAAGCTCAAGAACCACACACCTTAAGTTTTGGTCTAATAATCCTTCTAAACCACAAGATAATTTCTTTATTATTGTTCAAATTAAGTTGAGAGGAAAAAAAAAACCAGAAGGATGTGAAAAGAGAGTAATTGTATCATGACTTTGATCAACAAACTTGGGCACTGAGAATTTCATGTTTTATCCACTACTAAGCAAATGTCTCAGATCCAGTCATTCAAAACACCTCAGGCACCTGGGTGGCTCAGTCTGTTAGCGTCTGCCTTTGGCACAGGTCATGATCCCAGGGTCCTGGGATCGAGTCCTGAGTGGGGCTCCCTGTTCAGCAGGGAACCTGCTTTTCCCTCTACCCCTCCCTCCTGCTCCTGTTCCTGCTCTCTCTCTCTCTCTCTCTCTCTCTCAAATAAATAAAATCTTAACAAAAAAAAAAAAAAAAAAAAACAACACTCCTCAACCCACAAGATCTCAATCCACCTTGTTCACTACTCTTTATTGGACAAGGATTTTGCAACAACTGCTGACTTATTCTTGCCTTTCTACTATCTTGGGTAACCTCAGGGGTTGTTGAACACTGCTAGTCAAAACTAAGAGACCTGATTTAAAAGTCTATATAGGACTTTAAATTTTATTTTCTAAATTCATTCCGAGGTAAATTTACATGGGTTATTATTGCTTTTAAATTCTCTATATTATTACTATTAAAGTCTCTTAAAACACACAGAATCTTTCTCTAATCTCCAGCTACAAGAATATTGAAGGCTACATATTTAATATACATGTGCATATGTTTTTCTTTCATCTCATCAATATTTAAGGCAATGTGGTAAAGTCTCATTAATAAAGTTGTGGCTGGTTTACAATTTGCAATAAATCAAAAGATGCTGAGACTGACCTTCCCTTTACAGAAAGGAAAAAAGTGCTAAGCAAACAAATGATGTCGATAAGGTTCGAGCAGCAGTTCAGACTAATCTGGCGAACAGGTGGAGCATTTAAAAGTGCCATTTACATACTGCTAAAATTCTAGAACTATCCTTTAACCTCCTTTGAAGAACAACCTTTTTAAAGTTCCTTTTTCTGAGGGGCCTGGGTGGCTCAGTCGGTTAAGCAGACAACTCTTGATTTCAGCTCAGGTCACAATCTCAGGGTCATGATCTCAGGGTCATGAGATGGAGCCCAGCATCTGGCTCCATGTTCAGCAAGCAGTCTGTTTCCCGTCCCCACCCCCAACTCCCTCTCCCTCTGCTCCTCCCACCCCCCCTTAAAATAAATAAATAAATCTTTTAGAAAAGCTTCCTTTTCAAAGTCTGAATTTAGCCACTTCTTTTAGCCATGTTCACTGGTTCTCCCCAGAGTTCCCCCTGCAGGGTTTCCCCTGCCTCTCCTCCCTCCATCCCTATTCTCACCCTTTCACCAGTCAGCCTCACTGCAGTTCCTGCCCTATCATTTTCTGCCTTCTGCCCTCTCCTGTACCATTCACCTAGCCTTTCAGTTTTCTTCTGGTTTTCCCCTGCAGGGGGGCGTTCTGCTCAAGACCCTGAGACAAGGCTCTGGAATAGAGAGGAATGAGTGGATTTGGAGATTAGATGAGCAACCTTCCGCACCATTTACTGTGTGGACTCTCCCCGACTAGACCTGACACTAGTGAAAGAGAAAGTAGTAGGTGAAAGGAGCAAAACGTTAACAGTAGCAAATGAAGTGAAGGAGAGACTGAAGAAGACACTGAAAACAGTGGCTTGGGGAGAAGAAAGTCACCATACTGACTTTATTCAAAGAGTATTTCCATACTCTGATTGAAAGAGACTATCAAGAAGGATGTTTCAGAAGTAGTTGTTAGATATACTACATGAAAAGAGACGTTTTTATAACTAGCTTGGAGCAGATCCGAAACTGTGATTTCTGTCAGACTTTATAAATCAAGCAGACTCAGGCTAGCAAGTAACCAGAGAAGACCTTTAGGGAAAACACAAGTGGTATAGGGAATGGTGCTGTGATTCATCTGCTAGTGGATTCAGACCTGAATCAGCGCTAGAGGAAAAAGCTAAGAAAGCACCATCTTATAACAGGGTACTCAGACCTACATTCTTAATAAGATTCATCTTAACATTAATTATCTGAAAGAACTTGTTTTCACTATCCATAAGTAGGAATGTCATCCTGACAATCCTGGCCAAATTCCAACTTTGTAATTACTACCTAGTGAATGAATACTACTATTAACTTGGGTAATGACTATATACCAAACTCCTACTCATGAGTATACTTAAAATACACATCCACTGTAAGGCTGTGGGTAGTTTTATGAGACAAATCTAGAGAAGAAATTTTCTACACAAAAAGGAAAAATGAATAATAATTGGATAAAATATAAGAAAGATCCAGCAGCAATAAAGCATAATATTTTCACCAAAGTCCAGAACTGTATTGTTCAATCCTTTCTGCAGAGGCAGGGTGGGCGTGTCCCAAAACACCTGAGGTAAGGGGAGACCATATTACCATCAATCAGAGGGGCTCATTCTGCCAGTAATCATCATTATTGGCATTGTGCTCCACTAAGAACTACTTTCAGTACCTAAGCCCATTCATTTGTTCTCTCATGTGTTCATTTAACAGAATTCATAGAACATATGTACTATGACTCAGACACCATTCTAAACACAAGGAATACAGTGGTAAATAAGACAGGAGCTTATACAGAAGAAAAGACCAATAGTAAACAAATAAATCAGTAAGTAACAGGAAAGATACAGAAAGAATGGTGATGGTACATAGTAACCTGGAAGATACATAGGATGGCCCAGTAAGGTTTTTCTGAGAGGATATCATTTAGAGAATGTTAAAAGGATAACTAATATGAAGTCAATGGTGAGAAACCAGGAGACGTGCATTCTAAGACAGAATGGTTAAGTGCAGACAGCTTGCAATGAGAAAAGCTTGATACAGCCAATGAACCAGAAGACTAGGATAGTGTGGCTAGTAAACAAGAATTTGAAGCAATGGACAAAGACTAGATTTAAAAGGGCCTGTTGGCCAAGATAAGAATTCTGGATTTTGTTGGGGAGGTTGGAATTTGAATTTATTATTTTTTTTATTTTATGTATGTATGTATGTATGCTTGGAATTTGAATTTAAAGGTAAGTACTTCACTATCCTGGGAAGATTATAATATGCATCTTCTCATAACCCACTGAGAACTGTGTTTTGGTCTTTGCTACTCAAACTGTGGTTAAAGGACCAGAAGAACCAGTTTTGGCCTCAGGTTCCATCCCAGTCCTTCTGAATCAGAATCTGCATCTTAACTAGTGATTAATATACATATTACAAATTAAGAAGCACTCATCTAAAGCGATGCTCTAAAAAATCAGTATCTGAAACTAACACCAAATCATGGACTGTAATGCAAAAGACCAGAAGGTGCCTTAATAGTGAATTAAGAGGGGGAAAAAATTACTATGTTGTCCTACAGAGAATGAAAATTCTGGATATTTCCAATGCTCAGAAAAGAGTTAAATATGATCACAAACCTAAACAGTTAAGAGTAGAAGAGAATTAAGAAAGATCCTAAAAGACGCTGCCACTTAACACTTGACAGTTAAAACCAAGATGTTCTCTAAAGCAGAGAGATTTTCATGATAGAAGAGTAAACTTCATTTTCCAACTACAAAAGCCAACTAATTACCTGTCTCCTGACAATCCCTGCCTATTCACTGAGTAAAGCCTGCCTCAAAGGTATAACTCCCACAACTCAGTCCATCTCAGTCTCGTTGCATCCCACACCTCATATTCTCAAATGTTTATCTTTTCATTTCCTTGTTTTAACTTTCCCTCTTATTTTATTTCAATTTCTTAACTGTGAAAAAATCCCTGAACTACAGAAAAGTTGAAAAATAATATGGTCAACATCTGTACACTCATTCACTAAGATTCACTAACTTCACATTTTGTCAATCTGCTTCTCTCTTTGTTCTCTCCATATGCATGCACAAACTTAATTTTTTCTGAACCATCTGAAAACAAGTAGCAGACATTTTTGATCAAAGATCCAATTACAAATCACACACTTGGTTTTCATATCTCTTTAGCCTTCTTACCTCTAAAGAGGACTGTCCTGCCTTACCCCCAACCACATCTTGTTTGACTGTCATGATGTTGACACAATTGTTCAGGACAATTATTCTGGAGAATGTTCTAACAGGACGGATTTATTTGCTTGTTCAAGATTAGGTCTAGATTAAACATTCTGGTGAGAAACAGTTTGGTTTAAATAATTTGGTAAGAATAACATAAAATGATGTTTTCTTTAAACAGTCCTCATGATTCCTACATCTATGTTTTATGTTCCAAGTTAATTACAAATAAGCTTCTTGAAAGATGTAGCCTTGCTTTTTAATCTTTAAGAATGTAGCACAATCTCTGTACATACTATATACTCAATAAATGAAAACTTGAGAGCATAAGTTGACAACTGTTTCTAAGGATCAGAGAATATGCAGAGATAGCTATTACTCACTCAACAGTTTAATACCAGACTCAAAATATTTGGACTCTGCCTCTAAAATTTGAGAAATAATGAAGTATGTGAACAGTTTAGCACAGTGCCTAGTATAGTACATACAAAATACATCCAGGGAAGAGCTGGAGCTAAAGACTATTTCTCTACTCTGCCCCACACAAACATGTTTTAAGTGCTGTTCATTATGTAATCCAACTGCTTTGAAGATAGTGTTTATGCCTCTCCTCTAATGGTTTTTTTTTTCTATATATAACTAACGAGGTATTGAAAGAAAAACAGAAGGTTTATCTCATCCAAATGCAACTGGGAAAATGTATCATTACATGATGCCCGTAAATGTCATATGTGGAGAGCTTCCATAGATTCTTATTTCATGAAAAAAACGGTCGGTCAATGTCACCATCAGACATCTTGTAGCTGCCATACAATTTTGTAATGCTGGACACAAAATAAACAAGGTAACTTTATTTTCCTAAAAAATATTACTGAAATAAATCTAAAATTACTATGTATTAAGAGATGTTCCTTTTAAACCAAGATGTATTTTGAAAAGCAATCAAGCAAAGAAATTTAAAATCTACCACACACTATATAAAAACAGATTATTTAGGATACTTGCCCTTGAGATATACAATATTACATAATGAATAGTTTTTATGATCCACTTAGCTTAATAAGCTCATGTTTCTTCTCATTTACAGAAGAGTTGTTTAGTTTGGCTGATGGATGCAGATTTTTGGTTTTATGAAAAAGAGTAATTGAGGATGCTGCAGAGAGCCAAGAATTATATGGCCAGATGATATGCTATATACTATTAGCCTTTATAAACAGCTCTTGTTTTGGTTAAGAAACCAAATCTTAACCTTACGAATCAATGTTATTCTCTTGCTTCAGTGTAAGGATTTTAAGTATGCTTAAGAGTGGGATAAGAGTAAATTCTGTAACAATTAAACAAGTTCAGCTGCCCTCAAAGAGATCAATACATTCTTAACTGTCTATCACAAAACCTTTCCAATAAGGCTACCTTAACATGGTATTTAATCCTAGATAGTATTGTCAAATATTTTCTCCTCATAAGGCCCAATTCCATTCCCTTCAATATTTATAGAGAATTCTCTTTTTTTTTAAGATTTTATTTATTTATTCATAGAGACACACACACAGAAAGAGGCAGAGACACAGGCAGAGGGAGAAGCAGGCTCCATACAGGGAGCCCGATGTGGGACTCGATCCCAGGTCTCCAGGATCACGCCCCAGGCTGCAGGTGGCACTAAACCGCTGCGCCACTGGGACTGCCCTTCTCAGAGAATTCTATTTATAATTATAATCAGAACTCCGGGTGTGGAGAAAATGTGTGTGACTACTGCTAAAGAGATAAGTGATTTTATTTCATGAGATAATTTCCTCCACTTTTCTTAAAGCTATTTATCTAAAGTTTCTTAACAACTTAAGAGGCAAGATTATGTTAAAAATATAAGCCACAATCTCTGTTCTCCAGGAGTTTGTATCTAATATTATATAAATTACTAGTAAGGATAAGATGAAGTTTAGGAGGCTAGTCACAAAACTGAGGATACAGAACATAGGTATTCATTAAATAAAGATTTCTCTATCATAAAATGAGATGACAGAATGATTTTATTGCAAGGTATCTTGCTAAAAATATTTCGTATTTCTAAAAGGATACCATACTAAAGAGCATCATTTTTTCTTCAAAAATTCAAGCTTTTAATAAGTTCATTAATTTTATGAATATTTGAATATATACAATATGCAAAGAAATGTACCAAATACTGTGAAAGATGTAAAATTACAGAAAAGTTGTTTGGTACTGTTCCCCAAGAGACTTATAATTCATTGAGGTCAGTACACAAATCCCTTAAAATGCTTTTTCCTCTTGAGATACAAAATATGAGTGAGGAAGTGTCAGAAAACATTTATTCATCCTCTACGAGTTTACCTGGTCTTGCAGTGACATCACTGGATTATTTTTGGTAGTGTTGATGTGAAGAACATGGTATTTATTCTTTGCACACAGGTCATAGGCAATATTGGTAAAAGAGGTGCTTGCAGTTTTGGGGACTCTGTTATAAATGATCACCATGTCCTCTTCCTCATCCAGTGCTGCCTCTTGCCGAGGGCCATCCATCGTATGTCGCTGCTCAATTTCTCGAACTTCATGTCTTGCAATCGCCCTTTCTGCAAAGAAAAACAGTTACGAACTCAGATTTTAAAGACAATGAAAATAATTTCCCATTCCTGGAACATAATTTTCCTATTCAAGAAATGTGTAAGAGCACTTGAAGAAATGTTCTGAAGACCGAACATTTAGAATTACTCTTCAAAGGATAATACATATGCATATACAGAACAACTGAATAATCAGTCATCAACTTTAAAATACCACAGACCAGAGAACAGTGCAGTTCAAAAGTCATACTACAACCTAACAGAATTTCTACAGCCTGAATTAATTCTCAAGTACACAAAGACAGACTGCATGGAATACTAAACTTCATAGTAAAAATGCACTTAGAAAGTCATTGTAACTTAAGCAAAGATTCTCAAATTTATACTTAGTATTTAATTACTCCCTGGTTTATTAAAAGGTAGCAGGGTAGTGGTTATAAATGCTGGAGTGATTTTAGGAAACAAGAGTAGAAACTATACCATTACAAATCCTTTTTCTTTTTGGTGTTGCATTACATTCTAAGTCCTGGCTATGCTTACTCCCTAAATTCTATGGTTTGTCTAACTCAAATCACTACCATGCAGTTTGAAAAATAGTTAGCATTTTCCATTCTATTACTATTATTCTCTATTTAATATAAACTTCAGCTTTGGATGTTTTTTAGAATAAGGAAGCAAGAGAAGGGAAAGAGAGAAATTAGAGGATAAAAACCTCTAACAAGATTACAAAAGTTACTTTGCACAGAGACAGCTGCCTACACATACTGTGCACCCTCCTACCACCAGATCTTTGTGCAAGCTGTCTCACCTGCTTTGAACACTCTTCCATTTCCCCTATACCCTAATGCTGCCTGGTGAATTCCTCAGCCTCCACACATAATGCCCAAAGGGGAAGTATTATCTGATGTCCCTAACACAACACATGCATGTTATACCCCATACCACAGGTCGCATAATTGCAATTTTTAAATATCGTGTTACTGATGGTCTACCATAATACCAATACTCCACTTAACATAATACTCCATAATACTCCACTTAACAAAATGACATGAAAAAGCAATGAGGTACAATTACAGTAACAAGTGCAGACTTCAAATATGGTCAAATCATGCATCTTCTATTTTGGTTCAGAAGATATGGTCACCACTTTATAGAAAGTATACTCTGAGCTGAGATTCACAGTCACAAGACTTGAATAAAAGTTCCAGGCCTGCTCTTATTAGCAGTGGGCTTTCCAAAACAGAAGAAGCACATGTATTCTATATGTCTATGCATATATGTGTTCTTTTCTTTTTGTTTTCCTCTTGGGAGTGTTAGATGGGAATGTTCAGTGAAAGAAATGAGCTTAATGATGAACACACTGTTAGATTGCCTGGGATATCCAGATGTTATGTAGATAACTGGGCACATGGGTCAAGAGTTGAGAATAAACATTCAACTGCAAGACATCTGGGAAAACCATAGAAAAGAATGAAACTGCCTAGATAATCTAGAATATGTAGCATAGGAAAGAGGCTGTGGGACAGAATCTTAGGAAATGCCAATATTTAAGGAGCAAGTAGAGACAATCTATAGAAGGAGGCTAAGAAGAAAAAGAAAAAACAGGACTTTTAAAAAAGCACATGCCACATGATAGAATGCTTTTCAAATGGACCTATAAATCAAGGTAATACACGAGGCTACAAGCATCTACATAGGATTTGGAAGCTACCTCAGATTAAATTCAACATGCATTTATTGAGAGCCTACACACATTATATTTAATAATTTTAAGGACTCTAATCTCCCAAACAACCTCGAACTGTCATCATAGTCCAAAACTCTTATGATATTGTTACATACACATGCCATCCTCTTTCCACAAAAGAAAATAAAACAGTGCCGCTGTCATTCAGGTGCTAACAGAAACAAAAGAAGTCCCCTTTGGCAGCCCAGACATGCATAAAATTGCCTTTAAAAGATTCACCTAAAAGCAACAAGGCTGAATTCAGTTTAACTAGTTTTTCTGACATCAAGCATTTGGAAAAGAAGATTCTAGGTGTTATTTCCTAAGTGAGTACTCATTTTACCTACAGACTACTTAATGACTAAAGAAAATCTGCACTATTAATGGTTTTTATAATTATTCCATCTATTTAATAAAATTTTACAAGCTCAGTAACTGCTGGGAAAATTAGCTACTAAATTAAAAATATTTTTAAAAAGAAGTGACCATTTAGTTTATGGATTTTTTTATTTCTTAAAGTGGTCACAGGTTATAAAAATTAATCATAAATCTTGGCTCATCATGTATATTAAATTATATGCACTGTATGTTAACACAATTTAAAAAGATTTCTATGAAAAGGTACAAATATGGGAGTCACTACTTTCCTGATTCAAATTATATATTCATATGGATTTCCTGTTTTTCAAGCATCTTTGCTTTGACAAACAGAATAATTATTAACATAGTGTTATGCCTAAAACTACATAAAGATAAAATTGCGTGGAACGTCAAGAGAACTTTTGTTAGTAATATTTGCTTATAAAATCAAATCTCGGGGTGCCCGGCTGGCTTAGTCAGTTAAGCATTCGATTCTTGATTTCGGCTCAGGTCATGATCTCAGGGTTCTGAGGTAGAGCTGGGCCCATGTTGGGCTCTGTGCTCAACAGGAGTCTGCTTGAGATTCTCACTTTCCCTCTCCTTCTGCCTCTGCCCCTCCTCCTGCTCATGCTTTCTCTCTCTAAAATAAATAATCTTTTAAAAAAAATCAAATCTTTAGTTGAATAATAGTAACAACTGCTGATGGTAAAAAACTCTCTTTCCACCTGGGACAAATGTAAAACCAGCAAGGGTGTTTGCAACATAGCCATATTCTTTACTTACTAGGTATTTGACATTTCCAGTTCTTTTTTTTTTTTTTTAATCAGAGATGCTCTGCATCTAGTTAGTACAGCTTCTTCTGATTCTGAGACTCTCTTAAATCAATGGGGAAGCTTTATTAGTTACAGCATATTTGTTGTGCACTTAGAGAATGTAGGCAGTAATTTAAAATACGATGCTTTCTGAAATAATTTTTTTTTCATGTTTGAGCAACGAATTATAAAGAATCTGCCATGCAAGCTACTTCAGAACTACCACAAAATGTATATAGCACCATGGGATGCGATCTGAGAATCATGAAACTACAGACAGGCCAGGTGCCACTGGCACTAATGCTCCCAACACTGAAGAAAGATACCGAATGCCATGGTAATTATAGTTCTTTCTAGGCTCCTGTGTAAGGAGGCATATCTTTCAGCCCAATGAACCTTTCCATGTGGCAGATTATCAACAAACTTAAGTCTTTTAAAAGTCCATTCATGAGAGCAGTGATTACCTACTTCTGAACTGGAAGGGCAATAAAGGTCTTATTTAGTCCAAGAACATAGTGATGAAGCTACATATAAAACACTGCACTAAATACACCAAGCCAGATCCTACACAGCATTAAGTCATAAAGATGTATGTATCAGACATCTGATACATACAGAAAAACGGAATAAAACAGAAAAAGAGTTTTTTTTTTAAATCACAACACAACTTTTTTTTTTAAGATTTTATTTATTTGAGAGAGAGAGAGAGAGAGAGGCAGAGACACAGGCAGAGGGAGAAGCAGGCTTCATGCAGGGAGCCTGACATGGGACTCGATCCCAGGTCCCCAGGATCCCACCCTGGGCCAAAGGCAGAGCTAAACCGCTGAGCCACCGGGGCTGCCACACAACACAACTTTTTATGACAATTTTTTTTTAACATTAAACATTATGATTGTTGTTTTGGGGAAACACCTTTCCTCTTTGAACACGTTATTAAATGTTCAATGTACTAAATAATTTAACTTATATCTTTATAGAGAAATAAGAGAAATTATAGAGAAACAAGTTTTGTGTTTTATACAAATAAAAGGATCCATGCATATGTAACTCTCTCCCCCTGCCACAGTTCAATTTTAAAATGGTCTTAGCAGGAAATAAATACTTCACAAATGTCCAAAATGTGTAGTATTTCTGTATTGTGGATAACAGATTAGGACCTGAGGGACAAAAAAAAAAAAAAAAAAAAAGAAAAGAAGAAGAAGAAGGAAAGAGCAATACATTGCCTTGTCTTCAAATACTGAAACTTCTGCATGTTCAAATAAAAAAATGTAGTTAGGTAACAGGTAAATAAGTAATAAATAAGAGAATACTAAGAAAAAAATTACCAACTTTTTTCTAATTATAAGAAAAAACGTAGAAATTGGAAATGACGCTATTAATACTTTAGTAGATAATAAGTTAAGGTTTAAAAGAGATATAAATCATATATGCATGATACAGGGCGGAGCAAAGGTATTAGTGGCATTATGACTTTTTGGGTCATGGAATCCTTTAAGAGTATGATGAAAACTATGGACCCTTTCTCCAGAAAGACTGACTTGTGCATTTCAGGAAGGGGGCTCTATGACTCCAGATTAACTATTGGGGGGAAAAAAAAGCTCCAAGGACAGCAAGCCTAACAGTAAACTGCCTTTAGGCAGTAGGATATAATATTATATAGGAAAAAAATAGGTTACTCATAAGTAAGGATTGTAGGTGGAAAGAACTGAGGAAACCAGCAGTATCCATCTGAGAAATAGCTATGGGTGAGGATGCCCTGGCACAGAACTTGACCTGTCCAGGCCCCATGGCAAGTGTGCCTATTGCACAGCTAGATAAACTGGGCTCTAAGAGCCTGGTGCCATCAAATACCCTAATTAAGGTGGATCTTCAGCATTCTCTAGGGACAGACTTTCAATTGTGTAAATCCCTAAACCGTGTTACAAAGTATAATTTATTCAGCAGGCATAAAATGTGTACATTATGCAAAGTAGGAAGCGACAAAGTTGCACCAAAAGAAAATTATTATGAAGCTATTGAACTGGTCCTTTCTTCAGCACCATTCCCTGTGAATGTACTATCTAACCAAACACCACCTGACCCTTATGTACGTAGTGCTTGGCAATCAT